GCGGGGATTTGTAGCTGAAGAAGGTCACTGGAAAGTGATCGAAGAGCTCTACAACACAAGTTCTGCGTTCGACACAGAAGGCTATCAAATACCTGAGATTCGTTACGCCAGAGCTTGTCCACCTAGCACAGAGCACAGCTTGGGGAACACTGCTGAAGTCCCCGAGCACAAAACCGTCATTCGATCTCAGCAGACAGCCAGGCAAAAACGAAATGATGCTTCTGACACGGAAAGCACAAGAACCTTGAGCGACGCCGACTCAACTTCAAGAGCTACGGCTACGAATTCTCGGTCTATCACGACTGACTCACGGTTTTCCCGCGATGCTAGCGAACTTTCATCCGCCGGATCGAACTTTGGCAATCCTATTGATATTGACAGCTTCGAGCCGAGGAGGAGACTGCGCGAGAACTCCACGGCAAGTACTGGTCTTTTTGTACGGCAGGAATCCTTTGACGGCCGCTCTGTCAGTCGCGGTGTGGCCCGACGGGCTTGGTCAAGCACCAGCCGCATTCCTTCCCCGACGCCATCAGTAGGTCGAGAACCGTCAGCAGGTCTCGATACAAGCGGGCTCTTCCTCTCATCGTACTCGCCGCCCCAACGCGGTCCTGCTTATCCCAGAGTACAAGCTCTCGGCGTACCCGATGGTGAGAATCCAAAGAAAAGACCATACGATGCAGACGAAAACGACCAGAGCGGCTTAGACTGGAGCGTTCCCTGCCCAGCGTCTTCCCAAAGCGGCTCTCAACGCATCCGACCATCCAACACCAACCCATTCATCTCTTCCAATCCAGATGTCCATTTCGGTATGGGCAGAATGTCTTCCCAGTCTGAGACGGACTTTTGCCCCTTCAGCAAGAAACAGGGCAATAAAAAACAGAAGCAAAACTAGCCAAAAGCCGCTATTTTGGCACCAACAACTAACGTTCGCTCTTTCTTTCCGCTCATCTTTCTGCTTATTTCAGCACATATCGGATTTCACGACAAGTTTTGCTTTCAGGGACAATCAACCACGATGCCTGTCCTCTCAGCTTGATCTACTTTGGTTTTGCTTTTTTTCCTTTCGAGTCGTTTTGACGCAGCGATTGCATTTTACACAAGGCATACTTTAGGACGGAGCGTATTGCGATTTGGCACACCTCGACATGGAGTTACGGCAGACGTTCAAGGCACAAAGGTATGGAACATGTGCGGGTGGCCTGGCGCGAGCGGGCAAATCATCGACCGTGGGATCATCTCCTCACTTCATAGCCAGACAGACAGACGAATAGCGATTGGTTTGTTTTACTGCTGGTATCTCAAAAGGTGGCCTAAAACGTGATTTTTGTGCCCGTGAACGAAACCGTAGCTTGCGCCTCCTTGGCTTTCTTCCTCGCTTCCCAACTGGGGTGAAGTGGCCCCTCGTTATCCTTTTTAGGAGGCGGCTTCTTTTCGAAAGACTGAGATCTCTGGTCGTCTCTGCCTTGCCCCTGCCTGCCAAGAGGGTTAGACACACCCTTCTTCCAAGGCTTGCCGCTCTTGCCATCATCGGCCTCAACGGCTCCCTTCTTCATGTCCCAGCCGTCGTCCCGGCGCTTGCCATTGTGATGCTGCGACTGCTTCTTGACGTGATTCGCCTTGGCTCCGTACTTCTTCTCCCAGATAGCCTGGCGCTGCTTCTGGCCCAAACGCTTCTTTGGGGGGGCGATGTCGATATCCGACGCCTCCGATTCGGAATTCGAGATGTAGCCGCCCATCAGCGAAGGCAGGAAGGTCGTCGCTCCGGGCTTGCCTGTCGGCTTCTTGGCCCTAGCCTCCTTCTTCCTGCGGCTTTCTGGCGGGGGTGACGGGGAGAGGGACACGTTGGCCGCGTTGATTCTTCTCTGCCGATCCGAGTCGTTGCCCTCGTCGTCGTCCCGATCCCCCATCTCTTCGTCCTCCTCGTCGGGGTTGCTTTCGTCGTCTGCTGTGTCTCCGTCACCAACCTCACCGAGGAGCGCCTGGTACTTAGCCCTCAGATCCTCATCTCCGCTCTCTTCCTCGTCTGAGCCACCAAGCATGGCCTCCATCTTCTCGAGCGCCTTCTCCTCATCCTCCTCGTCGACATCATCGTCATCTCCTTCGATCTCGGCATCCTCGGCATCACTGTCGGTCGGGATCTCGTCGTCCATCTCGTCGAAGGGGTTTGTCTCCTCCTCCTTCTCAGCCTCAGAATGGGCTTTCGTGTCAGAGACATCCTCCGCTGCGTCCGGCTTGGCCCTTTTCGCCTCTCTGGGCTCGTCGTCCTTCTCTACCGCCTTGGACTCATTTTCAGCGCCCTTCTTGCCCTTCTTCTTCCTGTCCGGTAGGGGCACGTTGAGGACCAAGCACACCGCTCGCACGGCTTTGTCGACGGCTTCTTTCACATGAATGCGGTTGAACAAGCCGCTAGTGACATTGTGCAGCGCCGCCTTCTCATCTTCCAATAATTCGGGTTTTGGAATGCCTTGCTTGACGGTATCGGGTAGCGAGGGGTGCTCGGCGAGTTGCTTGATTTTGAGGAGGGCGGAGTTGAGGTGGGTGTCGGCGGTTTGTTGTAGGTCGAGAGACTGCGGGCGAAAGGTCAGCGTTTGTAATGGGATGCTAAAGGAAGCAGACTCAAGTGTAAAATACCTTGAGAACTAGCACCTCACGCTCCAATCTCTTGATCTTGTCTGGCGTAGACTTGTCGTCGCGCAAGCGCTTGCTGTACCTCTGGCGCTCGAGGCCTTTGGCGCCTTTCAGGGCGCGGAAAATCTCCGTTCTCGCCTCCGTGAGCTTCTGCTCGAGATCGCTCTGACGTGACCTCTTTCGTTTGACCATCGTTGCGGTTGCAATGCCTGTCGGCTACTAAGTAATGCGTCTGCTGGAACAGTTGCGATGGAATGGGACGGTGCAGAGCAAAAAATTGTGGTCCACCTGCGCGACAAGGTCCACTGGATAACGCGCGGAAAGCTTCCGGGCTCGAGCGCCGCGTGGAGCTGGAGTTTGGTGCAGTGCCATTGGCCGTAATTCCGATTCCGCGCATTGTAAGCATTTCATTGGCTAAATTGCTTCCTATCAGCATGGATGACGTTCTTGGAGGGGTCGTCCTGTAGCACCCACCCCGCGGCCCTCGGGTTCTGGTGCAGCGAGCTGTACATATGAGGTTCGGGCTTGTGTAAGTCATTCAGCTTTTCAACCAAACATCTTACAAGAAACAGCCGTAAACATGTCGGGCTCGAGTCACACAAAAGATGAGCTTGCGACCCTGGGTGCCGGCACCCTTTTCGGTGTCAATGGCATGGTTGCCGCCATCACCGGCGGCGGCTCTGGTGAGCTTGCCTAGCCGAGTCTTCCAAACCTCTTATCAAAGCTGACAAATTGTGCAGGTATCGGACTCATGATGGCCAAAGCCCTCGCTGCCAACGGCGCAGAGAAGATCTACATCCTCGGCAGGCGCAAGGAGGTTCTCGAAGAGGCTGCAGCGTCTGTTGCACCTAACGTCGTGCCTTTGGTCTGCGACGTGACTTCGAAGGATAGCTTGCGCGCGGCTGCGGCTGCGATAGAGAAGGACTCCGGCTTCCTCAACCTTCTCGTCTGCAACGCCGGCGTCGGCGGACCTCAGGTCAAGGCTGCCCCGGCGGAGATGACTGCTGCCGAGTGGGCCGAGCAGCACCTGGCTCATGACACGGCCGACTACTCGCGCGTCTTCGATGTGAACGTGACTTCTGTCTGGTATACCACGATGGCGTTTCTGAGCCTGCTTGACTTGGGAAACAAGAAGGGCAATCTCTTCCAGAGCTCCCAGGTAGTCTCGACCAGCTCCATCGGTGCTTTCAACAAGAAAGCGCCGGGCGGTTGGGCGTATGGCCAGTCCAAGGCGGCGGCGACGTTGCTCATCAAGCATTTGTCGAGCAACCTGCCTCAATGGAACATTCGCGCCAACTGCATTGCTCCTGGATGTAAGACATTGGAACGAAGCCCTCTTTAACGTTTTCTACGAAAGCTGACGACCCCTCTCCTTTAGTGTTTCCAAGCGAGATGTCAGCTCCCATCGCCAAGCTTTACAGCGCAGACGGAAGCGTGCCAAAGGAGATGGTTCCCATGCAGAGGATGGGAGACACCCAGGACATGGCTGGCGTTATGCTCTATCTTGCTTCTAGAGCGGGTGCTTATTGCAACGGATCGGTCATCACTGTTGACGGCGGTAGACTTGGAAACTTCCCCACGACGTGGCATGCCTAGACGGAAATAATCAGCTTTGTAGAGTAAAACGCTTGACGCTGTTTACCAACGGTCAGTAAAGAAACCAGTGTGAATGACGAGAATGACCAAAGTCAGTCCGCAGATGAGATGTTAGGCGTGCCATAAGAATACCAGGGGAAATACTATCTAGGATGTCAGCTTCGCTATCTCCTTGAGTCAACGCCTCGAGAAACAATTGTCTCATCATTCGGTGAATATCTTGGTGACCGGTGAACCCAACTCTCGCCGATGCAAGGGTACCGACGTTTATCAAAATCGCTTTGCTCTTAAATTTCACCGCCCCGAAATCTCACCTCACCAAAAGTCAACGCTCACCTGCACCCACAGACATTGTTGAGCTGCGCACAGTCATCACCACCACAACTAAAGAGGCGCACACATAGTAAGTCTTGACAATTGTTTGTTCAATTTCGCGTGGGGGTCTACAACCCCCGTGCGTTTGTTTGACGATGTATGTACGTCTGTCTGTTCAAATGGTATAAACCCAAGCAAATAATATTCTTTGCCTCCCCCATGAAAATGCCAGCATTACGCCCATAGCGCCGTGTGGGAGAGAGACTGATTAACAGAAGGCAGAGCGCCCGAGAGGAAAAAGGATGATCGGGGATGGCTTGCTTCTGTTGCTGCTCTCCAAACCAAAAAAAAAAAAAAAAAAAAAAAAAAAAGGAACAGGTCACCGATAAGAGAAATATTCCCCAATGGGAAGGGGATGTTGTTGTCCATTCCGAGCGAACGTCGTGTCGTGCATCAAACATTTATTTGGTGATGAAGCCAAGGTAGTCGGCGACGATGAGCGTTACCATGCTGTGGGACGCACTGTTAGCACACAGGGGTTCTGACGGGGTTGATAAAGTCCACTTACGCATGGGGAGCAATGCGGACATAGTATGTGCCGAAACCGCGGTAGAAGCGCATGACGCCCTCCTGCTTAGCAACCTTGGTGAAGCAGTCCGCCATGGACTTGTACGGGAGCTTGCCGTCGGGGCCCTTGGACTGCTTCTGAAGGCGAGTCTTGACGAAGTCGAATGGCAGAGAGAAGAACGAGGCGAAGAAGCCAGCAATGGCAGAGGCAGTCAGGGTCTGGGCCTGGGCAGACATTTGGGTGTTTTGCTTGAGCTGGGACTTGGCCTCGCTGAAGAAGGCGAGCTGACCGAAGTTGAGAGCCATGGCACGGACGACCGTGGGGGCGGCGCCGGCCCAGAGGGCGGTAACACCCTCCGACTTTGCGATGCTGGTGAGGGCGTCAATGACGCTCTTGTAGTTCTTGCGCTCAGCCAGGGGCTTGAGGCCATCGCTCTGCATGCGGATCAGAGCCAAGTCGGCCGGGTTGCCGAGCACGGCGGCCAGACCTCCGGCAGCGAGGCCGGCGGTGGCACGTTCCTTGAAGCCTATGGACTTGCCCTGCTCCTTGGCGCGGGTGCCGAGCTTGCCCATGAAGGTGTCGAAGAAGCCCAAGCGGGCCGTGGTGTAGACAGCCTGGCGGAGGAGACCAGCGGACAAGCCGGTATAGAGGTCGAGTGCCTTGCCGCTAGCGAGAATTTCTCTTGTGACGGACAAGGGAGTGGGCTTCGGGCCGCCGGCGACACCCTCGCCGGCAAGCTGGATGCGGACCTTGATCATGTCGACGGGCTGGATGACGGTGGTGGCGACCATGCCACTGATACCGCCGTTGATGAAGGGCAAAGCCGCCCGCATCAACGGGGTGTGGAGGAAGTCGTTGGCGACGGCGACGGAGTCGGACTTCATGACTTCGGACCCGCGGGTTCTAGCTGCCTCAGCTGCCTGCTTGAAGGTGCTAGAGCTCATGGTGATCGAGGTGTATGTTACTGCAGCACGAGGGCTTGCAGTGTTCGATTCGGTGGTTGTTGTAGGAGGCGCCGTGTACTGACTGCTTCGGGACAGCCAAGTGTTGTCAAGTTAGGATGGCAGGAGAGCTACGGATGAGAAAGAGAGAGGCAACTAGTCAGCCCAAGTCCGGACCATGGAGGTATCAAAGGTAGCTTTATAGAACATGAGCTCGCATCCTCCCTCCGTGCCTGTCAGTGCCTTGTGTTAGACACGCCCCAGGCATCGAATGCCAGAAGTGGTGGGGGTCCAACAAAAGCATGAGACGGGGCGCAAAGGCGCAATTCCACGTCTTGACGGCGGCAGGACCCCACATACATGAGAACGGGCGCACAGGTGGGCAAGGTACACAGCTATGTGGTGTAGTAGATTTCAGAGATGCAGGCGTCTGTAGCTGTAGCGTGGACATGGTCCAGGCCGAACGCGATGCCGCGACCGAGGCGACGGTCCGGGTCGCATCGGCCTCGACGTTGACGAGGCGGTGGGGGCGGGGGGGTATGTCATCGGGAAAGATAGGGACGGGTATGTGTATTTGGGCCGTGGTTAAGGTAGCCCGTCCCATGTAAGTCCTCGGGGACGTTCAATAGGGCGGGCTCCACATCCGGCCGGCGACAATATCGAGTGAGGAGGGTGGGGATTTGGGATTGCAGTGACCGACTAGACACCAACTAGGCAATGTGGATTGGGGAGCCAGAGACAAGCCGCAGCGGGGGTGGGGTTGGGGGAGAAGAACAGTCAGGACGTGTGTGTGTATGGAAGAGAGAGAGAGGGGATGCGATTGGGACTAGCTCGGCGCCCTTGTTGAACGCCTCGCGTCCCCAATAAAAGTTGCGCGAGACATTGAGACATTGAGAGAAACGGTAGCTTCGTCCGACTTACAGAGGTAGGCAACTGCGTCTTGTAAGCAACAGTTTCGACGCAGAGTTCGACACCGTCAATAACACTGACTGTGGGTGTCGCCGCAACTGGAAATGGATGGAGTGTGGTTGGTATAGGTCGCGTGCCTTTAGGGAAGCAATGAAAGCGAGGAAGGCGGGGTTTAAGGATGTTTGGAGCTGGCAGCTGGAGGAAGAGGAGAAGGAGGGGAAAAGCTGATCCAGCAAGCCACCGGACAGTCAGGCAAATAAAAGCAAGTTGCGGTGCGGTAAGTCGACAACAGTGAGCTTGCGAAGACGAAAAAGCCGGAATGTTGGAAACAACGTAGTTGCCTTTGCCTTTTCTTTCTTCGTAGGGGCGCCTCTCTCGGGAACGGTCGGTAGCTTAGATGGAGATGTCAGGTGCTCTCGGGACGATCAAGGTTCGGCAGCAGCAACCCCAGATGAGTCTAGTATGAGAAGGCGGGTAGAGGCCGTTGATCACCAAGCAGTAGCCTTGCTTGGGGTTTGGAGTAGACTGAAGGATGTAGGTGCTGGAGGATGAGGAGGACCGAGGCTCGACTCGTTCAAGGTAGACACCGTCTTCAACAGACGACGGACAATGCAAAAGCTGGTGGTGGAATTAAGGCGGTACTCTTCACGGGGGAGATGGGTGTGCGAAGGTTGGACACGGCGTGCGGAGTTGAGGCAGCAGTGGTAGTGATATTTATGAGAGAGACACATGCCTTGATGTGCCACATAATGGTGGTACCTTGACCATGCCATGTCTCCGGGTGCAAGTGTACATGGAGTTGATACTCGGCGGTGATGAGGGCGACATGTACCTTTGGCTCGGTATCCGATGTCAAATGATTGGCATTTCACACAGTCAGAGAGCCAGAGAAGCCGAGCAGGCCCAGCAAGAACAAGCCAGCTCCAAGCTTGAAAGCCCCCCAAGCACCCCCAGCCCCGAGGGTGTTTTCACAATCTGGGGGTAGGGGAAAAGCTTCCCACCCTCCCATCCAGACGCCGCTGTCCCTGGCCACGTCGAGCGCGCCAATGAGGATCATGGGATTTCCAGCGGGAAGACGTGGATGCGAAGCCAGGCGCATTGTGTGTCGCGTCGTTTTGGTGCCGTCCGGATGCGGGGTATGGGTTTCGGCACACCTCATTCATCAACGTGACGAAGGGTAGAAGAGGGGGTTTGCTGGGAGCTGGCTGGCTGGATGAATGGATGGATCAAGGGAGGGATCGAAGACGGGAAGGGTTACAGGGTCGAATGGATGGATACCCGGGGGAATCGCTCGAATCTCGGGGAACAGCAGCAGCAGCAGCTCGTCGCCGGCAACGAACGACGAGCTTGACCCGTTTCTGCGTGTGCAGATCGAGGGAGTATCGATGGAGGGTTGGGGACAGCGGACGGTAGCTGATGGGCCGGCAGGACAACGTCACCGGTGCCATTGAGAGAGGAAATCTCCTGATAATGCCAGCATTGGGGCAGACGAACGGACGACGGCCACAGCTGCTCTCCCCCGAGACGGTGGGCGGCAGGCTTGCACCGTCTGAGGATGAATGCACCCCCTGCGAAGACGGCAAAAAAGAGCAACAGCAATGAAACGGATGTCGATCGCTGGCTGAGCTGACTTAGGCAGTACCTACTTGGATCGCTTGGTGGTTGGCGCTGGCGATTCCATGCGATTGGATTGCTCCGCCTCCCGCCGACACGGCCAATGTCTTGTCCGCGGACGAGACTTGGGCGGGTGTTTCGTTGTTTTCTTCGTTACGGACGTCGAAAGTCCACTGCTGGATGATTGGAGTCGCGTGCATGTCTTGTTGATCGGCCTTTGTGGAGAGACATGGAAACGGGATGCCATGCGCGAGGTGAGAGGTGCGACGGGCGCATCCCCAACGCGCAGCTCTTCCCTTGGTGTTCTTGGGCTCTCCGCCTTGGTCCTCCCGAGAAGAGACGAGAAAGCCCCGACGATGCCGATCAAGCCGTTGGAATAGATCACCAGATGCTTTGAAAGTTGGGGTAGGCAGCTGGTGGCCAGCACGGTCGGGTTCAGAAGCTGAGGTGCCTTTCTGATCTCGCTCTGGATGGGCGCGTTAAGCATGAATAACACGACGGATGGTTAAGGCGGGCGGCCACTTGGGTTGGTACAAAAGAACCTATGACATTGGACGGCTTGGGATTGGATCTGGCTTAGGTAGGTGTGCATCGCTGGGGCGGGTTGCGCTGTAAGTGCCCTGCTGGACCGGACTAGACTGGACTGGACTGGACTGGACTGGGAACGGCTGCCCTAGGCCGGGAACCGCCTGCCTGCCATCTGCTGCGAGAATGCGGGGTAGTGGCACACGGGCCATCGATGCCCACTATATCGCTTACGTACACCTGCGCTAAGGTAGCCGGCTATCGATAAAACGAAAACACCCGCTCTGCTGCCGCCAAGTGTTCCGTGCAGTCCAAGCCCAGACCCTGAGGTGGCCGGCCCCTCTGCCTCCTCGACAGCTGACCACTCACCAGCATCATATTGTTCTTACCACCAATTCCACCTGCATACCTAAGCACGTAACGATTGGACATCCTAGGCCACCACACCTCCACTGACCTTGGCTCACCGAGGACGTCCAAGGTGACATGTTTCCAACGCCCGCGCCCCGTTGAGTCTGCCGCTCACCTCGCACACCTCGCTCATCGTGTCTCACCGAACGGCGGCCCGTTGAAATTATTGAGAGACGATCCGACCCTTTGTGTGTGTTGTTGTCTCTTTGGCCCCCAACACCCGCGCTATTCCCGGCCCACACGCGATATCTTCAACGCCTCTCGTCGCTGGCATGCAGCCTGTGAACCTGTTGAGCCACCTGGGAGTACTAAGTAGCCCTACCGGTCTTTGCGGCCCCAACGAACCGAAGCCGTCTTGGGTCGGTGAGCTAATCTCGGCCCTCAACCATGGCAATGTTGCGGCCGTCGGGACCACCGCGGGAACACTGAACCACCACGCATTGCATGCTTCCACTCCATAGGTAGGTGCACGCATCCCCTTGCAGACTCCCCAAACTCTATCCCGTCCATCAACGATAATCTTCGGCTATCAAGAGATGAGAATCAACAGTTGAGGCCTCCTCTTCCAATCATTCAGCCACCCTCCCCCCGATACCGCCGCGGAAACTCGCGGCCCAAGACACCATGTCTCTGTGAACAACACCAAACACAGCAAGGGTCCAACACATCTCATCTCCCCAAAAAGACATTGCTAAACCTTGGCTGTCAACCTCATGTCGGCGTCTTCAACGTTTTCGCCGTAAAAGCGAAGACGCGAGCTGCTGGTAATAGCCTCACCATCACCCGTGCGTCATGTCACCGACCAGGACCTTGCATCAAGGGTAGGTGGGTAGGTAGCCAGGGTGCTGCGTAAAATTCCCGGGAGCTCGGTTCGGGCAAAGCCACTGGTGGAAAAACGACAAATTCCCAATTCCCAAAATCCATGTTTGCTCATCGTCTACAGCCCGACCCCGGAATTGTCTCTGGCGAATCCGGTTCCGCGCCCAGCTCATTCCGGAAATACTCAATGCCTCACCTGGAAATTTACCATGCACCTCGGTCTTTTCCTCCCTCCCTACAATTGTGTCACTGGCCTGTCAAGCCAGGAACCTAGCGCGAACCTGCGCCTGTGCCCCATCCCCATCCCGCGGGATGACGCTTGTCCGTCTCAAAGAAGGCTGCGCTGGGATTGGACATGGAAACGTCCACCGTCCATCGTGGCGGTCCAGCTGCATTTCCACACATCCCTGTCTCGGAGGGTTCCCTTGAGCTTGGATCGAAGAAACTGACGTGGTGCGGCTCGTTGTCCAACTCAACACAAACATCACCCGTTTTCCGGCTACTCGTCCCCGAGAAGCCGGCTGCAAGACAGTCTAGACAACAGCTCGGTTATCACAGCCCACGCAGACCCCTGCCGTCTGACCTCGACGGCCCATGGGATGACTCCCAGATTGGGCTCCAAGGGGACCGGATTGTCAGGAAGCCCAATCGCGACACCCTAATCAGACTTCCTCTCTCTCTCTATCTGACCCACCCATCAACCCGGATGCTCCCGCGCCTTTGGGAACCTGAGCCGAGAAGCCTCTCCTGTGCTCCCCGGTGGCTGGCCCGCATTCCGGCTTCACCTTGCGACGAGAAACACCTTCACGACCTGGTGCGGGCTTTTCCACAACCGGAGAAGCCCTTCTTCACCCTTGCTCGTTGAACGTTGTCAAGGATCTCGGCAATGCCACACCGTATTCTCGCGAAGTCGCGAAACTCGCTCACCACCAAGGACGGCATGGAATAGATCGCTAGGCGGATGCTTCCCTTCCGGTGGATGGACGGCGACTGGGTTTCCGCTTAACGAAGCCGATAGGCCACGAACCCCCCCGGATCTCGGCCTCGCGGGACGCACTTTTGTTGCCGACTAACGTAAGTTACACCTGGACGCGGTGGTTGCGCGGATATCGCGTCGGTATTTATAAGTGAGGGAGAGCACGTGGTGGCACACATGGCTCTGCGAGTTCAACTCCCACGGCCAAGCGCCTTGATGGAGTGAATGTGGGCTATCGCTTGATATATTTGTCACACGACTTCGCAGCATGACTCCTATCAACTTCCCACAGGTGTTGGTATGGGGTTCTATACGCTTCTCGCAGCACACAGCATTCGTCTTTTAGAAGTCAACATCTCTCTCGATCCCGGCCTTACGTTTGCAGACCTGTCAGGGCTATCTGACAGACCACTGCTCATGTTGAGGATTCGTCTTGGGATATTGATCCCACTGCCATCGCTTTGTGTGTAATGACTTTGTAGTTGACATGACCTGCTATCCGTCAGACATACCTTAACCCTGAGGGTTCATTTCTTCAGGGCTTTGTGCCATCTCAGCAAACAAATCCAGCTGCAGAAACGTAGGGCATTAATGCGGATACGTGATCACAATACGCTGGTGCTCGGTCTCTTGGGAGGATGATCAGAAGTTGGGAGATGACGACATTGCATATGCTAACGCACGACAAGCTCCTGGCTCAAGTGGACGCGATTGAGCAATACGGGCACGCCCTTCCAGCCATATCTTCTACAATGACCAAGACGGTTCGCCCTGCCATGTAGATGCATGCTGAAGCTATGCCAGAATATCAAACCCGTCAACCGTGGCTTGCGGGTGTGCAGCCTTTGCTTAGCATTGAACAGTAGAAACTGAGTGGCGGAAGTATAGCCTGAAATGACATCCTCACTTGCAGCAGCAGTAGGACGTCACACCGGCAAGCCCCAGCGGCAAGGCTCATGGAGGACAGTTGTGTCTGGCAGGAACACTTGGCCAAAGACTTGCATGTCACCAGGGAAACATGGAAGATAGTCACAACGATGCACACACAACATTACTTCTTACGACAGAGACATCACAGGAAACATTTGTTTACATAGAGACCAAGATGTTAGCCAATGTCAAGGAAGGACGGAGGGGGAAAGATAGACTTGCTCACCTTTTGGGTTGCATCATGCATCACAAAGACAGGATGGCGTGCAGCCAAGTAGGCAGTCATTGTCAGATCATATTGAGGGTGCGGGGTATCTTACCTTCTGATTTGAATCGTGTCAAAGTCAGGATGATGGACAGTCGAGTAGTTAGTCGAGGTCAAGGAAGAGCAAGATTGGAAAGAGAGAATTGCTCACCTTTTGAGATGCATCATGTTCCCCGAGTGTGTGAGCAGTCAAGTGGTTAATCGATGTCAAAAGAAAATGGAATGGGAAAGTATCTTACCTTTTCTTCTTTTTGATCGCAGTCGAGATGGCGGTCTGGGTTAGTACAAGCATATCACGTCATACGAGGGAAAGAGAGATGACTTACCTTCTTGGAATGTCGAGAAGCCTCATTGTGAATGTGAAAATGCACAAGTGGTTAGCCCATATCCAAGGGAAAAAAAAAAGGAATGGAAGAGGGAGACTATCTTACCTTTTGTTGTGTATCACAGTCGAAGTGGCGATCTATATTAGCACACACATGTCATGTCACACGAGGGGGAAGGAAGCGAGAGACAACTTACCTTTCTGGTGTCGAGAAGTTGTACCATGGGTGTAGAAACAGTCAAGTGGTTAGCCAATATCCAAAAAATAATGGAAGGGGGAAATATCTTACCTTTTGTTGTGAGATCACAGTCGAAGTGGCGATCTAAGTTAGCACACACATGTCATGTCACACGAAGAGGAGAGGGAGAGATGACTTACCTTTTTCAATGATGCGAGGAAGGTGACACGGCGAGAGGAGATACCATAGTAGTTCAAAGAAGCCCGATGACTTCCCAAACCAGAACACGAAGATAAAAATGAAGCTCGAGAGTCGTTGCAATGCACTGCGGTGACTCCCGAACAGAAAGCTGAATGAAGTGCGTCGAGGCAAAGGCTTCAGCGGAGGAGACGGTTCGTACGCCGACTGATTCGAACAACTCGCTTAGGACGAGGGGGAGGAGGAGACGGAGGACGCGGTGAAGAAGGAGCGAGATAGGGACCTGTGAAAGAGGGAGGTTCCCATGAAGGAGGGAGTGACTTGCCTGACTTGGAAAGAATGTTGGATTGAACGTTCCGAGCAAACCGTTGCAAGGCCTTGATGTCCTCGTCTAGGAGAGAGGGGGAAGCAGGAGAAGGAGAGGACGCAGAAGCAGAAGAAGAAGGATCCGACTCGGCAACAGTAGAAAGAGAGGATGTAGAAGCAGAAGCAGAAGTAGAAGCAGAATCAGGATGGTTCCACTCAGCAACGGCAGAAGGAAGGGCCAGTACAGGTGAGTGCGTAGGTGAACGAGTGTAAGAGAAGGAAGCGTCCGAAGCAAAGACAGTCGGTTCGAAGTCGATTGAGATAGTGATAGGCGTAGGGCTCCATTCTGAGTAGTCGTATGACTTCTCCGGGGTCGTTGGGTTCTTGGGGGTGGCGGGTCGAAACGTCATGCCAGCCGCCAACTCCTTGAGCTGAGCAAGTTTGATTGCCACAAGGCGATCGCTCTCGGCTGCTTTTGCGAACATAGCTGCCATGTTACGATCTATGGTGTCAGGGCTGCGTGGAGGGGGATGGGCAGAGCAAGAAGAAGGAGAGGGGGAAGGAGAGGGGGAAGGAGAGGGGGAAGGAGAGGGAGCAGGGGAAGGAGACGGAGCGGGACGAGAAATCAAACTTCGTTCATGTAGAGCGCGCTGCTGATCCTCGACGCGGGACATGAGTGCATCGAAGGAAGGAACAGGAGAAGAGACGGTAACGGAGGGAGAAGCAGGACGGGGAGAAGAGATGAAGGGATTGGTAAGAGACTGATCAGCCTGATCAGAAGAGATGAAAGAGTCGAGAGTGGGAGAGCGAGGAGGAATGAGAAGACGACGGGGGGTGCGAGGCGGGGAAGACGAGCTCTGGCCGACTCCGATCTGGCGAAGACAGCGTTGCTGATAATCTACACAAGCCATAAGTGCATCAAAAGAGGGTGGTGGAGGGGAAGGGGCAGGGGGAGGGGGAAGGAAGTGCACCGCCATGGTGTGATGAATGAAAGGGGGTGATCTGGGCCCAAAAGGCGAACCAGGATCGATAAGCTTGCCAATGTGTGCAGTATGGTGCTCGAACTCGGGCACAAACAGGGGAGAGGATTGAGCTGGGAGAGGAGTAGCAGTAACGACAGTAAAGGGGGGGACTGGAGAGGGGGGAAGAGAGCGCAGAAAAGCGCGAACCGGTATGGCCACAGCCGAGGGAGTAAGAGGGGGATGGATAGAGATAGAAGACGAACCTGACACACCAACCAAAGCTGAACCAACACCTCCAGACGCCCTACGAGAGGGCCGGTGGACGAAGGCGGCAAAGGCAAAAAGAAGAACGAGGAGGGCGGAAAAAACAGGGACATTAACCCAGGACCTGGCGAGGTAAACCCCACCGAGGCCGACGCATGTAACGAGCAGGCAGGAGCAAGTATTGTCGACTGGGACATGAACCCAGGCCCTGACGAACCGTGCTTCGGTCAGGGCGGCGCAGACGAGACGAATGAAATCCATAGCAAGCTAAGAAGTCGATGACAAGTCATGAAGAAGAAAAGAAGAAGAAGAAGAAGAAGAAGCGAAGTTGGGGGGGCGAGGCGGCATATATAAAGATATTCCGCATGGCTGGTATCTGTCCTACGATCAGTAAGTACATCAGCTCAGGAAGTCTGTTAGACCGTAAAACAATCAGTCGTTGTGATCCTGTTATTCCATTGGCCAGAAAATCATGGGAACCTCTCCGGATTTGACTTTCAAGATCATCGGGGTCCATGTCAGCCCTACGAATGGACCTGGATGGACCTCCGCTAAACCGGTCTTGGAGAGTGTATGGCCGGGTCTGAAGCGACACGCCGGGGGGCGTGCGTCCGATGAAGAACCCGGGGGGGATAGGGGTGTGACGACGACGAAGAAGATGAAGAACCTGTGTGAGGGGTGGGAAGAATGACGAAGACGATGGATACGAGACGACACCGAGACGAAGAAGACACCGAAATGACAGAGACAACACCGAGGCGGTAGAGACGATGGAAGGAAAAGCGCGCCAGAAGGGGAAAACAAAAAAGAGGAACCCGAGCGCGTAGTATTGTTTAGGGGTTCTATCTAAATCTATCTGCCAGTTTTCCCGTCGACAATCGACCAGGGCCCGGGCATTATGTTGTGACTGCCTTTGCTCTCATCGCAAGGGGGAGGAGCCCTTGCCTGGCGTCCACGTCGCACCTGCGCCGAACCCATTGCCCGACACCTGCTCGACGGCAGATGGCGTCGTAGGGGCAGCCGCTGCCTCGCTTGCAAGCGGTGGAGGCGTCAGAGCTCTTTGGACATCCAGACCTCTCTTTGGCGGCTTAAAGTTGTTCTCTCTACCTGCGCGATAAATGTCCTGAAGCATGGGCTCCAGCACGCCGGCATCATCGAATTCCAGATACTTGCGATACAGCTTCAGCGCCGTCCTAGCGTCCTCAATCGAATCGTGTGTTTCTAGCTGAATGTCCTCCTTCAGCAGATACCATGCCAGGAAGGCCAGAGACAGCTTTCGCAGGCGAGACTTGAGGAAGAAAAGGTCAATGGTGTCAACGACCTGGGATTTGGGAATATGGATATTGATCACCCGGAAGTCCTGTTTGAGACCATGGCCTAGAAACTTACAGCCCAGATTCAGGAGTATCCAGAGCTTCTTGTATGCGACCTTGAGGGACACAAGGTTATGCTTGGACACCCGCGGGTCCAGGTCCTCGTGAGTAATGCCGGAATACGAGGTCAGGTAATCCACGATGGGCTCCCTGATGGAGATGTAGTCATCGATAAACGGAACCCCTTCGTCCTCTCCCTGACCTCGAACGACGGAAGCTCTCGCAAGAGCGTACACTATTGGCCGGATCGTCTCCCTCTCGCCGTCCGAATTCATCTCGATCTCTGGCTGACGGACAGCAACGAACTCGGTATCCAGAGCGACTATGCTTTCCGGCCCAGGCTGTTCGGTGGCCAAATCCAGGGCGCGGTAAGTCTTGCCGTCGACGTGCGGGCTGGTAAGGGTCAGTAGGGGTATGGTGTGCAAAAGGTTGCCGAGACGGAGCTTACTTGGTGTCCTGGTACAGCAAAGAGGTATCGATGTTCTTCTTCCAGTCCATGTCTATCTTGTTGTTCGCCTCCTTGAGCTGGAAAACGACAACTGATGGCATCTTCCATGCAGGATGGAACGCGAGTGCCTCCTCGGTTGCAACGGGCCGCACGAGGAAGTCGTTGAAAAGATGCCACTGGCTTGTTTGAGGCACCTGGGGCTGCGCGTGGGCGACTGATCGAAAGTTAGTCCCGGTGCTCTTCAATGCACATCGAGGAAACGTACCATTCACCATGGCGACCAGGTGAGGCTTTTGCCCTGCACCTGGGTCGATATTCACGGCCATGCCGACGAGGGAATACACAGTTATGTTGTGAATACCGCGCTGTAGATGAAGTTTGAGATCCTCGCCTTCGTAGCAGAAAAATTGGCCATGGTCTACTATGACGCCAATCTCCTCAGGCAGGAACCCTGGTGTTGACCAAAAGCGCCTATGCTCCGGACTGTTGATAAGAGTGTTGATGACAAAGACGGCAGGGATGCTGTGAATGGTCTTTCTAGCTGCAATGTTCTGGTACCGCTGGCATCTGCTACACCAGCCTTTGGAAGTGGTCTCTCTCTCGACGCTCGACTTGAGTATTTGGGAGAAGGTTACCTTGGGAGCCTTCTGGTTCCGCACCATGCTCTTCTGTAAACAGTCAGCGATTTGCACTACGGTGCTAAGGAGGAGCATCCCGGAACTGCCAAGCCCAAACGGAAGTTGTGATGCCAAACCCGGTCAGCATGCGCCGCCAAGTACAGGCATAGCACAGAGGAAATGCTTACACTCTGTTGCGGATACATCAGTTCTTGGAAGAAGCCAGAGCCCGGTCGAGTGTACTCGCTCCTACAGTTCATACACCTAATGAAACTTGTCGCTGAGGTCGACAGCATCTAGAAAGATTTAGCTGAGCTCCCAAGAAAAAGGGACAGTCAACACACCTGATCCATCAAGCCTGAACCCGGCTGGATTGACTTGAAATCTACCACGATTTTCTCAGTGAGAAATCTGACCAAGCCTTGAAGCATTACGGTCAGACTGGAGCCATTAGGGTCTTCCTCAAGAAGCCCAAGAGGACCGGCCTGAGGATGATGACTGAGAGTCTTCAGCATGTTGGTTGCCTGACAGATTGAGCCCTCGGCCTTTTGCAGCATGTCAAACAAGAAACCCATTTCGCACAAAAGACATGTGTCTTCGACGCAAGCGGTCGCCGCATGTTGGAGCGCTATGTTCCGAAGAAGGGGCGTGAAATGCAACACCTGAAGCAGGGAGTTGGCGTAAGAGTTGGCGATGTGGATTTCAAGACCGGAGTACTGCGTCCTATTGTAGAACCTGTCGACCGTGAGTGGGCTTCCATTGCCAGAAACGACGAGCTGACATACCCAAAGTCAAAATCATCAACGCCAAATTTGCTGTACTTGATCTCCACGTTCCGGTACATTGGCGGACACTCTGCCTTTAAAGGATCAATGTCCATGCGCATCAGCGCGTTTGCAACATCATCGACCTTTTCGTCGTCGTTGTCGGGAGTCTTGGCAAACTCCCTGGCTTTTTCGCTGAGGAACTTGGGCGCCAGAATACCTGACGCGTTGGCTTTGTCCAGATTGCGGGTGTCTTCCACTTGGTTTCTTCGGAACCCTCTTGTATTACGTCCATACATTCCAAAGTCCGTCGCCTTGAGGCCAGACAGAAACTGCGGATCCAGCTTGGTGGGAGGAGCTCCAACATCAGACACAAGATCTGGCCAAGCCGACAGCAATACATCTCGGTAGTAGGGCGTGCCGATAGAGTTCAGAGGTCTACAAGCAAGTCAGCAAGTGGTAGAGTATTTCAGGATCTCCATGCACTTACGTGTCGGCAGTCCACTCGATACTTGGAAGGGGTTCTTCGGGCGTCGCAAATTCAGTTTGCGATGCGAAGTCAACAAATCGAAGCTTAGATGGAGAACCCCAGATATGGATGTTGAACTCGGCATCCGCAAGAGCAACGGCCTCACCAGATGGCGCGATCTCGAACATAGTCAAATACGTCATTGTGTTAGCCTGCCGTACATTGCTAGTGTTCGGATTCATTAGATCGACGACGTGCATCTGGCCGCTTTGAGACATGACTATGGTGGTGGTCGACATTCGCGGGTGCATCCTGACAAAGGCGGCGCCAGCAGGGAATGGAATCGGCGACATTGACGACATCTTCTTGATATCGAAGACATTCAGAAAGGGATCTAACATGTAGTTCTGGCCTTGGCGCAGTGAATAGCCGCAAGTGACGATGAAGTCGTGCTGGGCGTCCATGTCGCTAATGAGAGCCGAGTGAGCGTTCCAGCTTTTGACGACAGTAAAATTGGCCGCATCGATCAGGTTGACCGTGCCCTCTTTAGTCGCAGCGCAGATATACCTGCTTTTCTTCATAATTTTA